TACCTGTCGACAGACTGGCAGCATCGGGGGCTACCACCTCAATTTTTACTCCAGAGTTGAGACCAAGACGCTCAAAGTGCTCGCGCGCGCGTTTGTCCTTGAGTTCAGCAAGAACTTGGGGGACGGTGAGGTATGTTTCCGCAAGCCCGCGGAGAGGCGAAAGAGATAGAAGAGGCCCGGCATCGAGGACGAGATTTTTGCAGCGAGGAGTAGCCATTTGAGACATTTCTGTGATGGCATCAATTTCGATCACATGCTACTTGTTGGCATTCGCGTCCACCACCAACATTCCTACTCTCTCACTCACTGCTCTCGCAGCGGCCATCGGTCTTGCTGCTCTCGTAGCCATGCTCGGCTACCACACCAAACAGGTCACCACCTACGGCAAACGGCGTCAGCGCATCGTCAATGTGGACGATGACCGCGTTCCCAGGCCACCACCCACCATCTTCGATGACCTGCCCCCAACCCAGTGGGCCCCCGTTGCATCCCGCATGAAGAAACGCGAGAACGGCCCAAAAGCTTCTCCCCAAATCCTCCATATGAGCAAGAAGAAACCAGCCTTCTCATCTCCAGTAGACTCTCGGCTCGGGGCGATGCGGTCAGCGCAGGCTCGCAGACTCGCGGTGGAGTCGCGTCGGCCTCTTGGTTTGATGCCGCTCAATACGCCAGGATCTCCTGCGCCGCGCCTAGCAGCAGGCAAGGGTGTTCCTCCGGTCCAAGCGCTCTTCACCCCAGTCGTGGACATTATAGTACTCGACGGGGAGGGAAAAACGGTGAGCAAGGAGAGGCGGATATCTGGACCACGCTTTAGCCCCTGCGAGGACGACTCTCCTCCACAACCGAGGGCACCACGCAGAGGTGTTGCGTTGAAGAAAGCTCTCGTTATCGAGTCTGACGAGTCGGATTCCGATGAGGAAAGTATATTCGAACTGCCACCCGGTGAGTCTAATGTCTGCCTATCTGCCTGTCTAATTGTATCTCAAGATTCCCCACCGCGCAAGGTCATCACAGTGAAGAAAGCCGTTCCTCTGCGCATCGAATCCGACGAGTCAGACGCTGACGATTCTATCATACTTCCTGTCTCACCAGCTGTTGAGATGGCCCCCCTGCCCATCGAATCCGACGAGTCAGACTTGGATGAATCTATCCTCCTTCCTGTCTCACCGGTTGTTATTTCGCAAAGGCCAACCACTCCAATTGTGTCCAACCCTGTTCGCTACCAACGCGCCGCATCCCCGATCCCTCGCCCTCGTCAATTGACGCCCATACGCCGGCGCGGGCTCTATGCGCCACCGTCCCCTCCCTCTCCGCTGACACCGTCTGACGGCAATCTTTCCATCGACTTGTCCGACCTGAGCCTTTCGCTCTCTACTTCCTCGGGAGGCTCTTCCCTCGTGGAGGACATCCCAGAGTACCTCCAACCTCTCCTGGCCGAATGCAGTCAAAGTCTGTGTGGTCTACACGAATTTTCTGCGTTCATCAAATCCTTCCCATTCGATCCTCTGGTCTCTGCGCACAAGAACACTGCCCAGCAGGGATTCCGCAAGATCGGCGAGGCGAGCTATTCGGAAGTGTTTGGTATCGGCGACGTCGTGCTCAAGGTCATCCCACTTCGGGATGAGACTCAAAGGCGATTGCGGAATACAGCGACAGACGTCGAAGGGCCTGCAGAGACGGACGCTAAAGATGTGCTGAAGGAGATTATCGTTACCCGTGCGATGGGGGACATTTGCGATGGGTTTGTCAAGCTGCTCCGCGCCTACGTCGTACGAGGTACCTACCCGCAAGTACTCCTGGAACTGTGGGACGAGTACCTGGATCGCAAAGGCTCCGAGGGCGTTCGTCCGGATACGTTTGCAGTGTCTCAGGCCTATGCCATCATTGTGCTCCCGAACGGTGGGCCTGATCTCGAGGCGTCTACGTTTGCGGCCAAGAGCGGGTGGAGGCAGGCGTGTAGTGTGTTTTGGCAGGTGGCCAAGGCGCTGGCGCATGCAGAGCAGTTGGTGTCGTTTGAGCATCGGGATTTGCATCTTGGGCAGATTTTGGTCAAGGATGTTGGTGTGGTCGCGTCGCCGTTGCAGGCTGTCAACCAGAACCGCCGCAGGAGCGTCAAGCCGGAGAGGGCCTTGATGGATGATGCGGTGCATGGCGTTCGGGCAACGTTGATTGACCTTGGTTTGTCCAGGATGGACGCGGGCGATGGGTCGGGTGGGGAGACGGTTCACTGGACACCGTTTGAGGAAGAGATTTTCATGGGTGAAGGTGAGCGGTTTCGCCTTTTCGGGTATTCGATGCTCATTTCCTTCAGGCGATTACCAGTTCGATATTTACCGGTGCATGCGCGACCACAACGGTAACAACTGGGAGGCTTTCAACCCTCTGACCAACGCTCTGGTGAGTTTTCCTGCACTTGATTTCCGCGGTTTGCCAAGTTCATTCCAGTGGCTACATTACCTCATCGTGAAGCTGCTCAAATCCAAAGGTCTCAAAGCGCCTGCTCGTCGGAAGACGCAGAGTACGCCTGCACCTGGCGCAGCTTTCACGGAGCGAGATTGCTACGAGTGCCTCATCGATCTGGAGGATTGGTTGGGGAATTGCGTTTCTGCAGTCGTTGAAGCCAAGCCCAAGGGCAAAGGACGCAAAAAGAAGGCGGCTCCGGCTACACCTGCTCCACTACTACGGGGCCCGTTGTGTGCAGGCGAGGTGGTCGGTTACGGTGTGAAGAAGGGGTGGGTGAGATCATTGGCGGACCGTGAATAAGGCTGGTCCCCGAATTGTATTTTGGTTGTTTTATTGTGGATTTATCATGCTCATCTGTATGTAGAACGCAATTTGAGTCGTTTTGGTCGCAGGCTCTTGGGGTTCTGCAAGTCGATGTTGGCGCCATATCTCTGCTTGGTTTTGAACATACGTCCGGGACCATCTACCAGGGTTGTATCTGCGGGTGAAAAAGGAAAGAGAACAATAAACTTTCGGTTCAGGGAATCGAACGAGAACGGTGGAATATTTGATGGTGCAGAGCGGCTTCCAGACATTGGTGAATCCAATTTCTCATCCCAATTTTCCTTTCTGTCATTTCGCTGCAGGCCTTCAATAACACACATACTTGCTACAGCTAAACATCGAACCCGAACGCAATCAGCTGAGCCTCCATCGCCTGGCGGTCCTCTCGGGTCGGAGCCAGGGCGTCTGAGAACAAAGTGAGGTAACAGACGGTGCTGCGGTTACTGTTGGAGTGTACCTTGGTCTTCCTTGGTCAAAGACTCGTCAAATTGCGCCAATTGGATCCGAAACGGGGCTCTCAGTGCTTCCCGTTCGTACTGTAATCATGTTGGATTCAGAACATGAGTTGGAATCGTTACAAAGGCAGAGTTACCGGATCGTCGACTGATTCAACGGTTTCTCGCATGCGGTTCTAATGAAAGGTGAGCTGGATAACAATAGTGCAAACGATGTCTCACGACTATGCCACACCGCTGGTCCTCCAAACGTTTTTTTCTTTGGGCGCGGGTTTCAGGAGCAGTGCTTAGTGGCTGGTGGGAGGTGGGAGGAGACGCAGCCAGCGAAGATTCTTGTGAAGAAGAGGAGTCCGTGGAAGGCATTGTGTGGATGTTTGGAGACTCTAGGAGTATCGATATATCGAGATCAACTCAGGAACCATTTCACACTCCTTGCGGTACCAGAGGCCTCCGCTGCAGCTTCATCTCGTACACATGGATCGGCCTGCGCTGCTCTCCCACTTTCCAAACCCGAGGGACCAAGCTCTTTGTGCCGGGTTTTGCAAGCGCCGTGTCTCATCTTTCGCGACACTCGGTCCACTCCAGGTCATATTGCATTGTGGCAGGAGAGCGTTTCGTTACGGCGCTATTTCAACGAACTGGCTGCTGTTGTGCTTGTGGCTGCAACCGAGTCGTTTTGGTAGCAGGCCCTTCGCGGTTCTAGTCGATATCAAGACCCTACGAGGAGGATTGGTGATGGCCATACAAGACTAAATCCGAACCTCTATCATGCCCTCCAAGAACTCCTCTTCCTCGCAAGAAAGTTCACCGGCAACGTCTCACCAGCTACCAATTTTGAGCTCTGATTCCGAAACCCGGGCTGAAAGAAATTGAAAAAGGAGGATGAGCTCATTGTATGGCATCTTCTCAGTGTCCTGACTACCCTCCATCAGTTTACTGTTTAAGATGCGAAAGGCCCTTGCGGAAAGGGGCGATGGTGTAACACCTGCCTCCGATTTGAATACCGAATTCCATACTGCAGGACCCAAGCGTTGTTGCAGCTCCATTTCACGCGGAACTAGCGACCTTCCGACGAGGGCTAAGCCAAGAGGACCGCAGTGAATTTCAACGGTCACAGTAGCATGGTCTGTGCTCAACCTCTTTCCAGCTGCCTTGAGTATAGCCGTTCCTCTGACGGAAGAGGAAAGGGAAGAAATGGAAGAAGGACTCGAATCGTTGGGGTTGTCGGTGTGTCCGTAGATTGTATTCCTTGCCTGTATCGACCACCAGCCTGAGTATGTGTATTGAACGTTTAATCGTTTGATACCTTGTCCAATGTTCGAAACGACCTCACCAACCTCACAGGTTTAGGATCCCTGTTTTGCTCATATGTTTCGACCCTTCTTTCTTCTCGTTTGGTTTCCAATGAAATAGTACCTCCCTTTACCCATCATCAAATAACCACCCAAGCTCCCTTACTGTACTGCTTCATAGCCCGCCAGCCAGATAAAGCGTAGTATAGAACTTCAAATCAAAAAATGCGTAGTATAGAACTTCATATCAAAAAATCAAATCAAGGACCACAAAGACTTTCATCCTTTGAAAGTACAACCATCCTTGTCAGCCCACTATGGCACGAAGAGGTCTCCGTGAACTGAGCGGCCCTTCGTCTTGGTTTTGTCAAAGAAGAGCAAAAGGAGAGAGCTAAGATTAAGATAAGGCCCTGGGTCCCGCGCGGGGTACGGCGCCACTCAAGCCTCGAGCTAAAAACATTTTTAGTTCCGGTGCGGGGAATCGAACCCCGCGCAACCGCGTCAGGTTTATGACAAAGCACTGAGAGGCGGATATGTTACCGATACACCACACCGGAGCTTTAGGGCCTGAATTTGCATGTGACTAGCTATAAAGTTCCATGAAAACCCCTATTTCCTCACACACTTGATGCAGAATGTGCAATGTGCAGTTTTGGTTGCCAGGAGTGTGCAGATCTTCACAATACTCGTAAGAAACATCTTGGCAAGGACCAGCACAATTTGCAGCGGTTGCAGACATAGGTCAGACACAGACTAGGCGAAACCTGTTCACTTGGTTGAATAGTCGAACAAAAGTAAACAATAAATAAAGGAATAAAACAATGCGCTCCTCGTCGGTCGTAATCATGAGCAGGAACCCCCTGCGACATCAATGTTTGCGAGAGACGGAATCTCTGCATCGGTATAGAGTTTGTACTTGGTGGGGTCGACGCCCTCAAACGCAGCCGCGAAACGTGCGTCCGTGTTGTTGGCCTCGTCGACGAGACGGATCCACGCACAGGCGATGAAATCACCGTACTTGCGGATGGCCTCACCATACGTCTCGGGATCCTTTTGCGTCGAATCTCCAACGGCAAGGAATTTCTTGCCGGGGTACATTCCTTGAATCCGGTCAATCATCGCGGACTTGTACTCAAAGACGCCATCGGCCCTCGCAAAGTCGATGATGGAGCTCAAGTCGGTGGTGGTCAGGTTGTTGAGCATGATCGGTCCATTGGACTGCGAGTAGGTCGTGTCGATAAAGTCGCGGAGGAAGGGGTAGAGCTGGAAGGGGGACGCAGAGACGTAGATGAACTGGGGCGAGTTGAGGGATTGGGCGAGGGAGGCGTAGACCTCTGGCATGCCCGTTACGGGTACGGGCGTGTCGATGAGAGTGGCCTTGGCGAGTAAGAGCGTGTCAAGAGAGTGTGAGATTTTGACAGTATCGTCAATATCTAGACGCAGTGAGTAAAGTACAAGGTAGTTGCTATGGCACACACCAGAAATGACGCCAAAGCCATCGGCCGAAGAGGGAAAAACCCTGAACGTGACGTCCCGGGAGTCGAGGGAAGTGAGATCCACAGTCCCATTTGCTTCGGCCGCGCCGCAAGCACCGAGGCTGATATTCTGAATGGCCATTCCACCGGAAGCTGTCGATTGGAGGGACGCGGCATTTCCGCATCCACCAACGTTGAACGAGACGTCCTTGCCAGACAGCCCTACGGTGGCAAAGAGCTCGAGACGGCTGCTTGCCGTTGCGATGTCTGAACCAATGTCCAGACCCAGTGTCTTGTTTAGGAGGCTCGAGATGCCCGACAACAAAGGTGCGACAGAGAATTGCCGCGTGGAGACATATGCCTGCAGTTGGACCAGCGTGTTGGCTGGATTCTGGTGATCCTGGAATGCAGGGGCGTCGAAAACCAAGACACTGTCGAGTAGGTTAACAGAGCTACGGCGGGCGAGCGGCGGCAAGGCATAGGCCACGCTGGCACCAAGGATAACGAGCGACGAGGAGAAACGCATTAGAAGAAAGAAGATGATCTGCACAGCAGGCAAGAAGGGTGAAATAATGAAAGCATGGTGCGTCTCGGTATTTATCTGGGTTGCAGTACGACCATCACCGAGCCATATGTCATGAGTTTCACATGGTGTCCGAGATCTTGCAGGTTTCAGTTCTCAGCAAGTTCTCAGTAAAGATTCTTGAGCAGAGGCAGTCGAGTCAAGAGAGTACGAGTCATGAGAGGGAGAGAGTATAAGTTTAGAGCAAACATCAGAAAAATGACATGTCGCGCCCACTTCATTTCTTGACGCTCGCGGACTTTTCTGTCCCCCAAATCAAGCGTCTCTTGACCCAGTCTTCCCAGCTCAAGAGGGCTTCGGAGCCATGGCTTCTCCCCCAAGGCACCCTTGCTGGAAAACGCGCCAATTCACTCCGTCTTCCCTCGCAGTCTCTTTTCAATAAAACAGTCGCATTGCTCTTTTCAAAACGCAGCACGCGGACCCGGGTTGCAGCAGAGACTGGTGCGAGTCTCCTCGGTGGCCGTGCGTTGTTTTTGGGCAGCGAGGACATTCAGCTCGGTGTCAATGAAAGCGTGCGCGACTCGGCGCGTGTAATTGGCGGCATGTGCCAAGGCATCTTTGCCCGCGTCGGAGACCACTCAGAGGTTGAGGTACGTGTCCAGCGTAATTCTAGTTCCCTATACAGAACGATATGCAGGAACTCGCAAAATATTCGCCCGTACCAGTCGTCAACGCCCTATCCTCGCTCTGGCACCCCACCCAAATTCTCGCAGACCTCTTGACCCTCCACGAACACGCCCACCTGTTCAGCCCCCTAAAACCCGACGCGAAACCCGAGAAAAAGAAGGGAGTTCTCGAGCTCTCCGAGTTGCGTCCCCTCACCATCGCCTATGTTGGCGACTCTGCAAACGTCCTGCACGACATGCTCGTCACTTTCCCGCGTCTCGGACACCAGATGCGTGTCGCTACGCCGGCAGACCCAAAATATCGTGCGCCCCAAGCTGTCTGGGACCGCGTCGTCGAACTTGACTGCGAAAAGAGCATCTGGTGGGGTGAAGACCCCAAAGAAGCAGTCAAGGGCGCGGACGTCGTCATTACGGACACTTGGATTTCCATGGGACAGGAGGCCGAGGCTGCGCAGCGGTACAAAGACTTCGAAGGTTATCAGGTCACGGAAGAGCTCTGCCGCGAAGGTGGCGCCAACCCCGACTGGAAATTCATGCATTGTCTTCCCCGCAAAAAGAACGAGGTCGATGACGAAGTTTTCTATGGTCCCCGCTCGCTCGTGTTCCCCGAGGCTGACAACCGCAAATGGACCATCATGGCCGTCTTCGAGTGTGTATCTCTTTCTCCTTGTTGCTGCACGCACTCAAACTACCCCAGCCTTATAATCGGTAAATGGGATCTTGAAGCTGACGGACAGCCTCGGTGGCAAAAGGACAAGCTCAGGAAGGAGCAGGAAAAGAAGGAGGAGGCGGCCAAGGAGAATTAGGCAATGCTACAATATATTAAGGCTCGTGAACGACGATGTCCATAACAGATCTCAAGTTCATTGAATGTCCCGACACCACGTCCGTCAAGGTCAGTGTGTCGATCGAGTGAACGCCCGGCGTCACCGCAAGAAACTCCATCCGCACCGATTGGCACGCCGCAGGCAAGAGTGGTCTACAGACAATCAGTGAAAAGTTTTCGAGATTTACAAGACATACCCGATTCGAACGCGATTGTCCAAAGGCACAATGCCTGGTGACGGCGCGTTCTCTCCCGGATTTCGCCCCCTTCTCCTGCGGTCAGGACAAGTGACCTCAAACCTGCGCGTCCAATCCGTCTGGTTAAACACAAACACGTCCAACGTAAAGTGGTCGAGCGGATATATTCGACGCAATTCGTCCCCGTCTCTACTCCCCGTCGTCTTGCCGAGATCCTCTCCTTTCCGTGCCCCAGAAGAGACGAGCCCAACAGAGACGACGATGGCCTCTCCGTTTTTCACCCCATTGTCCTCGTGCTCGTCCTCTTCGTGGATCTCTGACACGCTGGGACCCAGACCCCACATCCCGCCACCGTCACCTCCAACGGAAACGATCGGACCAGGCGTCTGAGGTACGCCAGCAGCACCAGTACCCATGGGCATCCCTCTTTCCCTGCGAATTTCCACGCTCTTCCCGCTGTGATGTCCCTGAACAAACGACTGGGCCATCACTGCAGGCGGTGTCGGCGGCATCGCAGATCGTGTCGGATATGCGGGGTACGCTGGTGTCATGGGCACCGGCGCCTGGTAGTCGGGATCCACCGCCAGTCTCGGAGGCGCAGTGTACGTTGTTGGTGACCTTGGTATCTGAGCGGTAATCGACGGCGGGGTGTACTGATTCGGGGTGTGCTGATTCAAAGATGCCGATCGTACAGGAATTGGAGGAGAAGATGCGCCTCGATCCCTGGCGTTGAGCGGATTCAGCATCGAGGTTGAAGACCGATAGCCCTTCAGACCCAAAGCACGCGCTGCGACAATGGGTTGACCGCCAGGGAGGGTGTGGCGTTTGGCTGCGGGATCGAGCATCGGCGGCGGGGAATCACGGAGAATGAGACTATCGGTCCTGACATTGGGGCTGCTTGGGAATGGCGACGCGGGCTCTGGGAGGACGTTGGGAATCGGAGTGTCGCTCTCATAGTCATCTTCTGGAGCGATGCGGGGCTGCGAAGACAGATCTAGCACGCAATTCCACTTGGAACAAAATGTTCGAGTGGGATATACGAATGATGCCTCTGAAGGTAAAAACGGTTTTCCAAACACGCCAATTGTCACGGCACGTTGCAACATGTCTGGGGCCCCATCCTTGGCCAGACCCATGGCAAGTGCCTCATCGGGTGACCGGAGGAAGGAAACCGCATACAGCAAATTATACTGCTCGTTCGGACCCACTCGTAACGGGAAGACGGCACCGCCGTTGTTTTCCCAGCTTACAAGGATCGCCCGCGCTCCAGCATCGTCCCCACTGCCAACATTGACCTCCACCCTCTCGATCTCGAAACCCACGGTCCGACCCGAATCACCAGAGTTTTCCAGCTCGACGCAAAGCACAACTGTGCGCTCATCGGTGCCAGCCTCTGGATCCTCGTCTGTTTCCTCTTTCACCCCGGGAATGAGGACGGCAGGAACGAAAACCGTTCGCATTCGCACTCGAAAACCGGACACAGTACGTAGTGTCTTGCGGAAGCTCTTTCGGAGGGTCGCTGGCCCCCCGCCAGCCGCGGAGCGGCCCACGGCTGTCATGGGTGACGGGGATGGCGCAGAGAGAGGTGTCCGCGCGGGTAAAGGCTGAAGGGTGAAGAGCTTCAGTCGTGAGACGGAGCCTAGACGTGCGGTGGGGAGATCGAGGGCAGACGGGTCAAATGTAGGGCCAGCGGAGAGACCTTGGAAAAGATTGAGCTCGGGCAAGCCAGAGAGAGTAGGCTCGTCCGTGGATGGTGTCCCGTTGGCGGTAGGACTGGTGGGGCTGGTGGGTACCGTAGAAGCCTCGAGGAAATCCACAGATTTGAGAAACTTTGAGAGGGGATGGTTGGG